CTTTGGGATAACAAGAAAAATAATATTATTTGCATTACACTTATTAATTTGTGCAGTTATTCGTGTCTGGTAAGTTAATGCTCAAAAATATTCATTTTTATTAAAATGTTCTATTATTTTATGTTAACGATGACTCGTTTATTTCAGCCCTTTGTATTCCGCATGTCTCTATTGAAATAAATATGTTTCTATGAAAATTGAAGCTTGTTTTTTGTGGCCACACTTATACCTTGTTTATTTGGCCCTGGTAGCCTGTGAGTTTGACATGCTTGCCCTAGAGGAAGGCGCTGATAGTTCTAGAGTCCAAGAAGGTGAAGACCTAGTCCGTCTCTAGTCCTTCGGGAGATGCCGAGATCCCGGCAGTAGCAGTGCTGAACTTAAAGCCAAAGTGACTGGTCGTTCTCGCCTCCGATGCTGTTCATGGGTCTAAATGCTCGTTCTTCTCAGCAGGAGGGTTCTGTCACATTCTGTAGCGGGCACTTCTAGACCCCGTGTGAAGGCGCACTAGCTGTGACCCGGAGCAGACAGTGGCTCAGTGCCATTCTCCAGACGCACATCCGTGGACGGGCTGCTCTGGTCACCCCTCTGAAGGGCTCTTTCAGTTCCGTTTCAAAAGGCACTCAAATGCAGAGTCAAACTTCTGAGCAGCTCACAATGGACATTTCACCTCTGAAGACTCGCTGATGCTGGGTAGGATTTCAGTGACTTGCCTGAGGACTCTTTTTATTAGATTGTAGGGTGTGTATTTTTAGGAAGAAATTGGCTTCCATTATATCATACGATTTTCTGCCTTTTGGGGACTATTTGATCAAATCAGGCATTTGGGTTACTTTGTATAGATCTTGTGCTGTTCCACAATTATATAAAACACAAGTAAAAATTGGGGCTGTTTTTATGATGAGTTATATGTACATGGAAAAGTAATTTAGTATTTGAGGGTTGGGGTATAATGCAGAAGCACGGTATTAATTGTCCCAGGAGGACTGTACACAGGAAATGCTGTGAGTTAACACAAGGGGACATGGAATTTTAGATGAGGAAGACTACAAAGGAAGTAGGGTTTGAGCTGAATGTTGAAAAGAGGTTTGGGATGTCACTGAGCCAGATCGGAGAAGCATTCGGTTCTGTAGAGCAGGGTGCACAAAGGCACGGGGTCGGAGATGGGAGGTGGTTGGAGGGAGGGAGGTGCCCCAGGCTGGCCAGTGCAGCTGGGCGAGAAGGAGCAGCCTGCCGAGGGAGGCTGGGGCCCGGGCAGTGTTTGCAGGGCTCGCGGGGGGCGGGGGCCTTTGCTGCAGGGCGGGGCCTGACAAGGGCAGAGGGAGCCCCAGCGTGGCCTCGCTTCCTTCCCTGAGAAGACGAAAACTTGTTTTATGACCTAATTTGTGATCAGTATTGAACGCTGTGTGTGAGCTGAAAGTAATGTGTATCGTGCGTCCTCTAATTGGTGGGTGCAGAATTCTACACATAGGCGTGTGCCCCGTCGTGCTCTGTCCACATGCCTGTATCTCGCAATTGAGAGAAGTATCTTCACTCCCCCCTCCCCCCACTATGATGTACATTCTCATTTTCTCCCTGCGTTCTGTTGACATTCTTTTATTAGGTTCTTAAAAGTCTAAAAAATTAATGATTCTCTGGTGAATTAAACCTTTTCTTCATTGTTGTTACTCTATTTCTAACAATGCTCTATTCCACCCCCACCCCCCGAGAGGTAGGGAAGGTGTGAGAGAGAGAGAAACATCAATGATGAGAGAGTCATGGATCAGCTGCCTCCTGCACGCCCCACACTGGGGATTGAGCCTGCAACCTGGGCATGTGCCGTGACCTGGCCTCCTGGTTCAAAGGTCGAGGCTCAACCACTGAGCCACGCGACCCGGCTTCATAATGCTCTGTTCTTACCTTGTATTGGCCGATACCACGGGAGGCAGCCATTCCCTGGACTCACTTTCCGTGCTTCCGTAGTTTCATCCTCTTGTCCTCTACATGGTCATTTCTTGAGGTGTGCGTTCCAGTTTTGTAATTCTCCCTCCACCGTGTTTACACTGCTTGGTTGATTGTGTTTTAAACCTTGGGTTATCTCTCACATTCTCTTGTTGATTAGAGATCTTGGTGATTCTCTGTTTTATTTACTTACATATTGCACCACGGCTGTTTGAGAGTCAGGATCTGATGCGCCGCCTATTGGCGCCCTTGGATTCCGAACCTGTAGGTGAACGTGTCCCTCTTGGTGCGTTTCTTTCTTGGTGTTTGCACTCCGGGAGCTCGTCACTTGGACGTCGCTTCGGCTAAAATTAAGATGGAGAAACTGCCTGCAGAGGATCTGCTGCTGGGAGCCCAGGGCCGCCACCTGAGGGCACACCGGCTCCCTGTGCTGTTCTGTGTGGCAGGCCCTCGGTCCTGCCCCTGCCTGCACCTGGCCGGGCCCGGGCACGGCTTTCTGGCGCTGAGCTGTCACGTGACCAGCCCTCCTTCTGTCATACTTCATCCCACCTCTGGTATTGCAGGCTTTGGGCATGTGGGGGAGGTGGTGATCCGCAAAAGCCCTTCTGCTTCATGTGAGACTGTGTCCCAAACACTGTGTGTCTGGGCGCTCCTAGCCAGCCTGAACTCTGGGGGCAAGATCATCTGATCTCATTCATTCCCAAGGGTTAGGAAAGGGGGATTTTCCTATTGATTAACAGTGTTAGTCCGTATTAAACCTCAGTGGAAGTATCTACGTAGTCTCACTGAGGATAAATGCTGTTAGTCTTATTGTTTACTTGAGGCCAATATATTTAACTTGTGGGCAGTACTTGTTTTTGTATAAAGTCCTGGAATTGTCCTGGCCTCAGCAGTCCACGTCCTGGAATTGTCCTGGCCTCAGCAGCCCACGTCCTGAAATTGGAACGATGTGGAGAGGATTAGTGAGGCCCCTGAGCCAGACAGGCAAGTTGGGAAGCCTTCGTAATTTTCACTTTGCACGTTGTGTCAAGTCTGACCGCTGTGCTGCACTCTGGAAGTTAGACAGTATTGAATGGAACTGGAACTGGAAAGTTAAAACCCTGGCCAGGTTCAGAGAGCCCCTCGCGCAGCAGCTTCCCCAGCGCCTGTCTCCCAACAGGATATGTGCTGTGCTCATGCCCGTTCAATAAAAACATTTTGGGGCCTATTTTACTTAAAAAGTTTTGAACTTTTAATTTTTACAAAACAGAAAACTGGGCCCCTCGATGGGCAGCTCATTGCGTTTCACAAGCAAAACAGCCCCAAGATCAAGAAACAGTCCGGCCCGGCCTCCCCGGCTGCCTGTCTCACCCTCCCTGGTTCACGGCTGCTCCGGATCTGACACCTGGTTTTGACCTTTAAGTTAACAGAATCGTAAAGTACGTGTTGCTGTATGTCAGGCTTTTTATGCCAACCACGCGGCTGTAAGATGCGTCCATGGCACTGTGTAGTGTCTCCGACACTCTCATAGCTCCATGATGGCCTTTCCCTTTTTCTATGTTGTATTACTTGTTCTTACTCTTTTGTTTGTAGAAGGAGCTGAAGAGGAAAAAATGGAAACAGAAGCTGATGGTCAGCAGCCGGAAAAGGTGAGTTCTGTTTGAGTTCTTCCCCAACAGAACAGCCACGGAGGAGCCTTTCAGAGCGTCACGGTTTGCGTTTATTCTGATCTCTTAGTCCCTCTCAGGCGACTATAAATAACTGTCAGCATTTGGACTTTGCTGGTTAAGGTATGGTTCTCACAAAGCATAATACAGGACATTTTTTCATTTATTCATGCAAAGATTATTCACTCCCAACCTCTTCTGTTGTGCCAACCCCTTCAGGCACAGCTGGGACTATGAATATAAGAGTTGTCATTCTTAAGAATATTGAATTGTGGGGTTTAAGTCCTATCCTTGTGCCAGAAGAGAATTATATAATACCTGGGATTTTCTGAGAGAGTGAACTGCCAGAAGAAAATATTGAGAAAAGACTTGGTGAGAAGGTGACATTTGAGGTAGATTTTAAAGAGCAGGTAGAGCGAGAAAGAATGGAATGGAGGCTAGGGAATCGAATTTCCACCTGGGAGGGGAGGCAATCAAAGGGCCCCGAGTGTTCGTGACCCGATCCCCGTCTCGCATCCGAGGTCCTGAGTGGGGGGTGAGCTGGGCGCACCAGACTTGACAGCCTCTTCAAGGCCAGGGGCTCGTGGTGAGCAGTCGGCCAATCGCTGTTGGAATAAATAGGTACAGGAGGGATTTGGGGCCTTAATCACAGGCGGCGTTTGAAATGGTTTGTAGATAAGGAGAGGGTGGGAGTGAAGCTAGTTCCCGCTCTTACGGTGCTGTGCTCTGTGCTGTACATAACGAATCCACCTCATTCCTACAACAGCCTCATCGAGGCAGTGACGGTCCTTCACTTTATCGACGATGCCACCTACTTGTCCAAGGTCCCAGGGATTTCTGAATCAGCAGTGATGCCAGATGCCAGCGGAGGAGTTGCAGCTGCTGGCCCGGAGTTGCTCGCTGGTGCTCTGCTGTGGCTCTTTCTGCAAACCACCAGCAAGTGGCTGTGAAAAGGCTCTGTCAGCGCTCCATGTCGGAGCATTTCGTCCTGCTTCCTGGCTGATTATGTGCATTTTCAATGCTCTGGTCCTTTTGGACAACAATTTGATTATTTGTTTAATAAGTATTTCTCTGTTTAGCCAGTAAGTCATAGAAATGAATTCCCGTGACGTTCCTTAGGGCCTTGTGGCCGTGGCCTCACAGCAGAGGAGACAGGGACCGTGTCCCTGGGGGTGTTGTCCTGTGAGCACACAGGGGTTGAGGCATGAAGCGTATGTCTGTGAAGTTATTCATTGGTTCCCAGGTTTTCCCTTCTCAACCTGGTCTGCTTGTCAGCAATAGCAGAACCTTTAGTTATTCCCTGACAGTGTCACGGACAGGGCCTTCCCCCTCACTCTCCTCTTCTTTACCCCGTTCAGGCAGAAAACAAAGGGGAAAATGAAACGGATGAAGGTGATAAGGCCCAAGATGGAGACAATGAAAAAAGCAGCGAGAAGGAACAGGATAATGAAGTTAGTGAGGATATCAAGTCAGGTAATTTGAGGAAACGCTTTAGACTTCATTATGTAACACTGAAAACGGGGAGAAATGTGGGCCGTTTAGTTGTGTCGAGTCGATTTCCCATTTTGATTTGTTTCTTGATGTGGCCGTCGATGTGCAGCGTGCATTTCGCTCTGGGGCAGCACCTGTGCTAACGCCAGTCACGTACACAGACAAGCTGATGGGGCCTTGGAGGCCGCCACACAGGCCTCCATTCAGGTCGGCAGTTGCTGGCGGAAGCGCTGCCCTCGGTCCTGACTTCCTGCCGAGGGCACCTCATTGACCGATGAACAGACGTTTTGCCTGAATTTTCCTTTCTGTCCAAGGGAACGACACAGAGCTGAGAGAGGAAGGGAGGACAGAGGGGCCTGTTTAGAAAACCCATCTCAGATAGAGGCGCACTTATGTGCTTGGAGCAGCCCCGCAGACATCTCCCCGGGCACTGAGGTCCCTTTGTGACGTCAGGCCGGGGGCAGTGGCGGAGGTGAGCAGCGAGGTGGCTGCTGAAAGGCCACACTGATGCAGCTTCTGATTTCTTCCAGAGGAAACGGAGTCTGAGGAGAACAAGGAACTCACTGATACTTGTAAAGAAAGAGAGAGCGAAATTGGGAAGAAGAAAGTAGAACGTGAGATTTCCGAAGGAAACGTAGCCACGGCCGCCGCAGCTGCTCTCGCCTCAGCTGCCACCAAAGCCAAGGTTTGCCGACAGCCTCCCGGCTCACTTGCGCCTGAATGGCTGTGTTGTGTTCTGTTCGTTGGAAACGTCTAGTGCAGCGGTTCTCAACCTGGGGGTCGCGACCCCTTTGGGTGTCAAACAACCCTTTCACAGGGGTCGCCTAAGACCATCGGAAAACACATATATAATTACTGTTTTTGTGATTAATCACTGTGCTTTAATTACGTTCATTTTGTAGCAATGAAAATACATCCTTGCATATCAGATAGTTACGTTACGATTCATAACAGTAGCAACATTACAGTTATGAAGCAGCAACGAAAATAATTTTAGTCACCACAATGTGAGGAACTGTATGAAAGGGTCGCGGCGTTACGGAGGTTGAGAACCACCGGTCTAGTGTAAGGAGCCCCGCACCCGGGAGCAGGGGCTGTTTGCTTGCATGGTGTTCTAGGTGAGGAGCTGCGCAGGCGGGGTGTGCAGGGTCGGCTGGTCCTGCGGTGACCGACCGCCCTCCCTGCGGCCACCGTATCTTCCCACAGCCGAGTCTAATTTGCCTGCAGAGCTTGACTGGACTCTGGTTCCAATTTCTACCAGATTGAAATAGTGTGATTTTTAAGACAAAATCTGTTTCCTTGTATTAAAGACTTCATCCTGCTCTTACAGACTGGAAGGAGGGGGATGGGGGACCTAAAATAGCTCCTTTTCTCCTTGAATTTGCCAGCTTTTCTGGGGGTGGTTTTCTCTATTTATAACACAGTATTGGCTTCACAGCATCTTGAAGAAGAGACGAGAATGTTGTTCCCCTCACTTTGTGTTAACTTAGCATTTTAAGACATTCCCCACAGGAACATGTCATTTTAAGACACCTTCCCCTTCCAGTCCCCCAGGGAGTCTCCGTGGTTGCCGGTGACCCCGTGGAGAGCAGTCCTGGCAGATGCCGGGTCGGGCCGTCCTGAGCCTTCCTCCCGGGCAGAGACTCACGGCCTGCAGTGCCCAGGCCACCAGCTGCCGCCCCACTCCGCGTGTCTCCAGCCGAGTCTGCCTCCTCTGGAAGGACTCAGACAGGAAGCACAAGAGCCTGGGTCACGGATATTCAGCCACCTCCCTGCCCCTCCCAGGCCAGAATTTCAAACTCTTTGGCCTGGAATTTAGGAGTTTTCGTGCTCAGGACCCTTCCCAGTTCTCAAGCGTCATTTCTCACCTGTCGTCCTGACAGGTTCCTGGCAGTTCTAGACAGACCCACCCAGCCTCTCCTCCAGCTGGGCTCCCTGGCCACTCTCCCCCTCACGGAGGCGGCCCTCCTTTCCGTTCCTCTCCCCTCTGTGCCGCCGGGCACTCTCGCTGCAGGTGGCGGAGAAGGAGCTGCAATGGGGGATTCCCGTAAACCCGTTCAGGACACGTCATGGTGTTTCACGTCTGATGAAACGCGATGGCCTCATAGCTCTGACTGTGCAGCTCTGGGCAGGGAGGTGTGTGCTGTGCACGACCTCCTTCCACAGCGCGACTCCTTCCTTGCAGAGAACGTGCCGGCCAGAGGCCCGGGCAGGGGGAGGCCGCCCCAGAGCCTCCTCTTCCCAGACACTCGCTTGCTTCCCGGAGCGGGGACTTGGGTTCTGTTCTCCAGCACCTGCTCCCCCGACCTGGGAGGCCATGAGGCTCGGGCGCCAGGGAACGAGGGGAAGGACGCCCGTGGATCGCTGTGATCAGTGGCCTCTAGCCACGCACTCTGTTATTGTCGTCTCCTCCTTTGCCTGTAAACAGCTTTGTTATTGAGGGTTTTCCTTGACAGATTGTAATTGTTTGTCGCTCTCTGGCTTGGAGTGGCCATTAGAGGCTCTGGATCGAGCTCCAGAACACGCGGGGGCCAGTGAGAGACTCGGGTCACACTGCCCGCTGGCTGGCTGGTGCCCTGGGTCCCTCCCGCCCGGGTGTTTAGGTTTGGCTGGAAGGGAGGGGTCAGAACTATTGCCGGGTTAGACTGGACCCTGCGGGAACCAGACCATGCTGTCTCCCAGCAGCTGCGGGACCTGTTCTCCCAGGATGCAGAGACCCAGGCCTCTCCTCAGACTGCTCGCCCACCCGCCCCGTCCCCGCAGCGACCGCGTGGGCATGTCTTCTCAGCAGTGGGTGTTCGCTCTGGAACGGCAGGAAGAGTCTCTCTTGCTCCTCAGAAGCGTCTTGTGCTTGCTCCCTGTGCCCAAGTCCTGTCTTGAGGTGGCAGACCTTCCCCGCACGTCACGCTTGTCAAACCCGCGGCCCGCCAGCCGCAGGCTTGCTGTCCACGTTAGTCACGGCTTTGCCGGGTGAGCGCTGGTCGCAGTGGGTTCACACTGCGTGCGTTTATCGCCGACGCCTTCTCTTGCCTGCTGACACTGGAAGACAGGAGGCACTGTCATCGTTGGCACGCAGCTATCCCTGCTGCCTCTCACCTTCCGTGACTAATAGTAGCCCCTGTGACACCAGGTGGAATCTGCTTTAGGTGACGCTGACCTGACCTCTTCCCACCAAGTTACTTCTTCCTTTCTTCCTGTGCTGCCGTCTGCACCGGAACTTCCCCGTTTTTCTTATCCTTGACTATTTCTGGGCTGGTTCTCCTACTTTCCACACCTCTGTGCCCACCCTGAGGCCTCCCCACTCCTCCTGGGCCTTAGGAAGCCGATCTGTGAGGCCGGGGCGGGGGCGGGATGCTCTCCAGTTTGGGAGGCTCTGCTTGCCACAGCTGCCAGACCCCCGGAATCCACAGCCCGAGCCCCAGCCGTGTCCCTGCTGTGTGGCTGCCGTAAACGTGGTGGCTTGAAACGATGCTTGTGCCTCATGATTTCACGAGTGAGACACAGGCAGGCTCTGCTGGGAAGATCCTGTTCCGTGTGCCGTGGGCGGGTCGCTGCGTATCACCCTCCTGGCAGGGCTGCTGTGAAGGGCCTGATGGTGCCACTCGTGTGCCCGGAGCCGAGACCCCTGGCTGGCTGCATGGCTGTCCACACAGGCCGGCTCCGCAGTTACCTGGCTGCTTCCTGCGCGGGGGTAGCAGATGGTTGGACTTGTACGTGGCAGCTGAGAACCGAGAGAAAGCAGCCCCGCAACAGGAAGGAGAACTGCCGGTGTCCTGTGGCTTGGACCCTCCCTGACGCTGCATCGTGTTTCCCCACCCGAATGGTCAAAGGTTCTGTCCACATTCAAGGCGAGGACAGCAAAGGCCACCCCAGACGGAGGGCGACGCCTCGCCCACCACAGCTGCCATCACCCCCCACAAAGGCAGCGTCTCCTTGTCCCGAGTGGGAGGCTCGGGCTGCGGTCAGGTTTCGGCTCAATCCAGGCCCGGAGCAGCTCCAGAACCAGACCCGACCTCCTGGCCGGGGCCTAATGATGGCAGCCAGCCCAGCCATCGTCTGGGAAGCTCTCCTGCGCTGAAAATGCTCCCAGAGTCTCAGTCAGCACCCAGCAGCTCGCTCTAAGAGCACCTGTCCTTTCTTTAAGCACCTCAGCACCAATTGTGGTTTAAGTTTCTCATCTTTAAGAGACAAAAAAATAACAGGGATAAGAAGGAAGCGGTTACACCCGACTGTTTTGTAAACTCCGCCAGCTAGTCCTGGCTCCGTGTGCCACCTTCCTCACCGCCCGCTCTTGCTCCAGGCGCTCTCAGAACGCTCCCTGGGCGAGGCATTCGGCTCTGAGCTTCGTTCGAGGCTGTGTAAGATGGAGACTGTCTCAGCAGTTTATCGGTAGAAGTAGCAGCAGCATGGAAATGCCAGGTGACGGCACACTGTGGCGTCTGGAGTGAAACGTGCTTGGTGACCTGGTGGCTCCCTCTGGCCCGTGATGTGTGCCCACAGTTGGTGTCTCTCTCGCTGTCCTCTAAGGTTTCCCCTGAGCAGACGTGAGTGGTGTTTGGAGACGTTAACGACTTTGGCCCAGTGCTTGGGGCCATGCAGTCGCTGGAGGCCCGTGAGGATCAGCCTCTAGGCCTCTATTTCTGCCGGATGGACAGGGTGCGTGTGGGGCACCAGATCCATAAATCAGCAGAACTTCTTAGTCCTGGAGCAGGGCGTGTGCTGCTCCAGGAAAGGAGTGACTGTGGTGCCTTCTCCCAGATGACAATCTCTTACCAGTAACACTATGAAGAGTCGGGAAGTTTCGTGAACAAGAGGCTCTTCCTCCAGCTGGAGCAGCACAGGAGGCAGGCGTGGCATGTTCCCAAGGTCATCACAGCAGATGCCAGGGGACACAGCAGGAGCTG